GCCACTGTGTGACAGAGTGTTGGACTGGATGGGCCATTGGCCTGATCCAGCATTGGCTTCTCTTATGTTCTTAATATGATGGGAAGGGGCTGTGGCTCAGTGGAAGAGCTTCTGCTTTGCATGCAGAAGGTCCCAGGTTCAATCCTCAGTATCTCCAGTTAAAAGAGCCAGGTAGTAGGTGATGTGGAAGACCTCATTGCCAGAGACTCTGGAAAGCCACTGCCAGTCTGAGTAGACAGTACTGACCTTGATGGACCAAGGGTCTGATTCAGTACAAGGCAGCTTCATGTGTGTTCGTGTGCAGCAACTGCACGCTAGCCATCCAATCATGTCAAAATCAAATATTGCAGTCAGTGAATTGTCCAATACCAAATGCTATTATGTGCCAAATTCCCAACGCTGTCATATTCTGCTACATCTTAAATACACACTACATCATTTACTGACACTGAATGTCAGCTATCAACTACTGCGCAGCATGCAAGATCTCAGATATGACAAATGGCAGATTAGATTCATCATGTCGCAAAAGCCAAAGACGCACGCAACCGAATAATTCAAACCTGCATACGCTAAGAGTACCAAAAAATACTGAAAATGTTTGACATCCTGATGATAAAAATAACTAAAACATGCATTCCGAATAGATACAGTACCTCTTCCGGCCACCAGCTTACGTGCAATTATGCAAAACAGAAAGGATGTTTTAAAAACAGTGGGCCTCACAATCCAATGCAAGATTGTCACTGTCTATTGCTTTGCATGCTGCAGCTGTGAATGAAATCAGTGTCTAAAAAATGCATACGGCTTTCTAGTACATGGCTGAACTATGGTGTCATGGAACCTGTGCCTGCAATAAGGAGGAGGTTGATCGGCTACCGCTTGTCTCTGCATTTTAAAGGGGGAGGAAGAGAAGAAGAGATTGGATTTATACCCTGCCCTTCACTACCCAAAGGAGTCTCAGAACGGCTTCCAAACTTCTTTCCCTTCCCCTCCCCACAACAGACACCCTGTGAGGTAGGTGGGGCTGAGAGAGCTCTGACTGAGAACTGCCCTTGAGAAAACAGATCTGAGAGAACTTGTGACTGACCCACGGTCACACCAGCAGCTGCATGTGGAGGAGTGGGGGAATCAAAACCGGTTCTCCCAGATTAGAGGCCGCGCACTTAACCACTACACCAAGCTGGCTCTCCAGGTGAATGGAGAAAGATCCCCAAGAGAAACTAGGGGTCTCTTTGACCTTTATATGTCTTGTGACTTTTCAGTTGGGGGGTGGGGAGTTCACACTACAACCCTTCCATAGTTCAAAAGGCCTCACCCAAGAGGAGGTGAACGCAGAAACTGCCAGTTCAGGTTCTGAGGTTATATTTGGCTTTTTCCCAGTCTTTCTTCCCTGGGGTGGTGGCAGAAGCCAGGCACCCCTTTGTCCTTCCCTCCCTCCACCAGGTCCCCTAGAATGCTGCAGTAGTAGCATTCCAGGTATAAGGAGCTCTGGGAAATGTAGTTCTCGAGGCCTCCTTTATTCCAGTGGTGGTTTTCCACACTTGCAGGGCAAGAATGCAAAAATGTTTTGTCCGTCGTGGAAGATTCCCCGGGAAATATTTAGTGGAAAGAGACCAGGATGCAAAACTCCCTATTTCAGTGTAAAATACATCGTTTCAAACTAATTTAAAGTTAATCATAATATATATGAATGAAATGATTAAATTTACCTTTCAGTCCTGGAAACCCCGGCTGCCCAGAACTTCCCTTTTCACCTGATAACCCTGGAAATCCTGGATCTCCCGACCATCCTCGTTCCCCAGTCTGTCCTGGGAATCCTACATGGTACAAAAAGAAAATATCAACGTGTCTTGGCATGCATTCTAATCTCTCCTTATATATAATTGAATAGTGGGTGCCAAAGTTCTAATTCTAAAATGCACTCCCTTAGTGTATGGCTGATGGCACTGCTCCTCAGCATATATCACCACCAATCAGAAGGCAAAGCCCGGGTCC